CCGGCTTTTTTCTTTTTGCTTATGTGGTGCTGAGGAATCGAACCCAGGGCCTCATGCATGCAAGGCAAGCACTCTACCACTGTGCCACCTTCCCAGCCCCCCATGAGACTCTTATCACCCATTAACCACTCAAAAACAGAAGTGGTGCTGTGGCTCAAGTGGTAGAATGTTAGCCTTGAGCACAGAGAGGCTCAGCGACAGCACCCACGCCCTGAGTTCAAGTCCCACAACTGACCAAAAAAGTGCCCCCCACAGCTCCTCACCCAGCACACGCTCCCCCAGACCTCCCAGTTCTAAGTAGGCATTTTCGAAGGCATTCTTCATTTCATCATCAATTGGGTACTCTTGCCCATCCAGCAGGTAAGTAGAGCAGAAATCGAAGATCCTCTCAGGAGCACCCTTCATCATCAGCACGTAGGGCTCGGGTTGGCCCTCTCGGAAGTGGATGGACAGCTAGGCAGAGGAAGTAGCAATGGAACAGAATGGAAGAGCGGAGCAGGAACAGGGATCAAAACAAAGGGGAAATTTTTTTTTAATTCAAAAGACTGGACAACTTTTCTCCCCACACTTCTCCACTTTCTGGGTCAAATGAGACTCAAGGCTGGACCCAGCCCCTCTGTTTCCAGGCAATCCCAGCTTGGTATCATTTGTATGCAAAACTCTCTTCTCAGCCAGACTGGAAGCTCTCTGAGGGCAGAACTGGCACTCTCAATTCTTCCTATTCATTCGATGGTTCCAGAGCAGAAATAATGGGGTTGTAAAGACACTTCACTAGGCAGTAGGCAGGAAAGAAAACTTAGGGCCCAGAGACCTGTGATCTACTGCCAATATGAATGCTTCAGTTGCCTTATGGCTTCTTACCTCTGAAAACCTTTCATGAAAAGGTTCAGCCTTGCTTTCTTCAGTATTTTTGGTTTGTTTTTTTTCCTGGTCCTAGAGCTTGATCTCAGGGCCTGGGCACTCTTTGTACTCAAGGCTAGTACTCAGCCACTTGAGCCACAGCACTACTTCTGAGTAGTTTATTGGAGATAAGTCTCTCTCAGAGCTGGGTGCCTGTGGCTCACACCTGTAATCCTAGCTACTCAGGAGGCTGAGATCTGAGGATTGCTGTTCAAAGCCAGCCTGGGTTTATCTCCAATAAACCACTCAGAAAACCAGAAGTGGCACTGTGGCTAAAGTGGTAGAGCTCTAGCCTTGAGCACTCAGGCCCAGAGTTTAAGCCTTGTGACCGACCAAAAAAAAGAGTCTCACGGACTGCTGGGGCTGGCTTTGAACCATAATCCTCAGATCTCAGTTTCCTGAGTAGCTATGATTACCGGCATGAGCCACCAGCACCTGTCTTTTTTTGTAGGCTGATTTTTTGTTGTTGTTGTTGGTCGTGGGTCCTGGGCACTGTCCCTTAGGTCTTCAGCTCAAGGGTAGTGTGCTACAACTTGAACCATGGTGCACTTCCAGATTGCTGGTGGTTTATTAGAGATAAGAGTCTCATGGACTTCCTGCCCGGGCTGGCTTTGAACCAAGATCCTTAGAGACAGTTTTGAAAACAGTGAAGCATCACCTTAGCTCCACTCCTAAAGACAAGAGTGGTCCCTGAGAGGGGCTCAGGAGCAGTGGGAGTCCATTGAGGGTGGGTGTCCACTGAGGGTTGGTGTGGCATGGCAGGAGGGTCAAGTTCATGAAGTGAACCTGACCAGACTACAACAAACAGAGAGAAGTCAAATGACTTGGGTTTTACATTTTCTCTTATTTCTGACCCACAAAAAAAACTTTATGGCCTTCAACTTGTGGCTGGCAGAAAATGCCTATTAAGTCACTTATCTGGAACAAAATCAGTGTATTGAAAGGAACTCTGGGAGCTCAGAGGAAGCCAGACGGTTCTGCCCAAAGGACAAGCTGGGTGAGAAACCAATGCATGGAATGTGGATATGACTATTCTGTTAGAGACTGTTCAGTCATGCTTAAAATAGGCCTAAGTAGTTACTAGGAAAAACTTTAACTTGTTTAAGCAAAAAGCTGTAAAATGTTAACCAAGCTCCATTTTTTTCTGAGTGCTCAGTAAATATTTGTTGAATGAGTAAGAAGCTCATTCAGAGGTGAGAGCAAGAGGTACTTAAACTAGTGCCTTGATCACAGAAAACCACATCTTGACAGCTTACAGATAAAAAAAGATTAAGGGAAAAGAAAAGGGAAATGGCCTGGACAGAGAATTGTCTTCAATTCACTTCCATCTCAGAGAGGGAAAGAGTCCAAGTTTTGCAAACATCCAGTAGGCTAAGATGTCCCTTGCAAAGACCAATCTCTACCCTTAAGAAGAACCTAATTATTGCAGCGTGCTTAGAGCTCCCTGCTAGGGTTGGATGGCCAGTGGGCTGGCTTATGATACATGGTATACCACAGAAGCCATTTCAGTGTCATTTAGTAGCTCAGAGGCACTAGCAGTCATTTGGGGAAGAGTCATAATTTGTTGTACACCCAACAATGTTGTGAATTTGTTTTGATTTTTATTTTGAATCACAAAGAGGGAGAAGTGCCTGAATCCTTCCAAGGGCTTTAACACAGACCTTGCCAAGCCACAAAATCCTTGTGTGGCGATGGAAGCTAAGCAAATGTTAGGGGGAAAAAATGGAATTGGAATTCACAGTTTGGGCTTAGGTGACCTATTTTATTATGTAGAGTAAAACAAATTAAGACAGGAAGTGATCTATTTAACTATTACTTGTATTCAGTGTTCAATATGAAAATACAGGAACTGTGTTTTTTAAAGATCTATATAGACAGCATTGTTTTATTATGCGTCTTTTAGGACAGAAAGTACATGTGACTTAAGTCTGTCTCTTGTTTTAATACATCTGAATGTCTGGCCTTTGTGGTAGTAAAGAGAGTTGCAGGCCACTTTCCCCGGGTGATCTGGTGGAACTTCAGTCACAGTAAAGCCATTGTTCCCTACTTTCTACTGGAAACCTCTCCTCAGTTTGCCAGGATTCTTCCTTGGGAAAGAAATGCTGTCTCTCCTATTCCTCTATGGACTTTGAGACCAGCCTAACCTCAAACTATGTAGCCCCAAATGGTTTTGCATTGGTGATCTTCCTTCATTCACTTTTCCCAAGTGCCACACTGATAAGCATGTGCTGCTATGCCTGGCATCTGTGGATTTTATTGTTTGTGTTGGCACTTTACTCAGTATTTCCTTTTCTCTTGTCCATTCTATCCTGGATAATGGATCCAAATGTTCCTGGGATATGGAAAATATACCATGCTGTAAGATCCTTAATCACTTACCTGATGGCAGACACTAGAATTTCGGCACAGAGGGTAAAGAAATAATTGATGAAAAGAGTACCTTGCAGACACCACCTTATTCTGTACTGGCACCTTATTCTGATACACCTAATGGCTGCATGTGTCTCTGACAGGATTCACCAACCAGCCTCTGCTGAGTTGGTGTTTCATCATTTTCTTTCTCCATAGATGGTACAGGTCAAAATTCTGCTTGCGACTAAATGCTTCTTCTCTAATTCATCTGTTTCTCCTCTCTTGGTCTGCTTGTCACTTTTCATTGAGGCGAGTCTTCTTTTTAATTTGGGTTATTGGCTCTCCTGGTGTTCTGCTCAGAGGTGCAGTTGAAGGCAAAAGTCCTGTTCCCCATTGATGAGCTCATGCCCCACCCCCCACTATTCTCCTACCTTTGCCAGTTCTGTACCTGGTACTTGTTGGAAGAATTAAAAGGAATCTCTGCCACCTTGGGGTATTTCGCTCTCACTTCCTTCACAGAGCAGTAAGACTGTTCGATGAACTTGAGGAGCGCTGACTCGGAAGCATCCCCTGTCGTTGCCCTCTGCCAAAATGGGTTATATAATAAGTCCCAGGGGTATCCCACCTGGGAATGGGGCTTACTGTGATTTCAAGGAGAGGGGAAGGATAGAGAGGAAAGACGGTGAATGGTGGAGGGGAATCACTGAGTGCTAGGAGAGAAAAAGATGGGTCATTGGACACTGGTCTCTTTCCCCTTAGTCTCGACACCTTAGCTATGGGCAGGCTCTCCTGACGAGGTTTGAAGTCAGCCCGGTTGCAGAGGGCAGCGATTTGAGCCAAGATAATCCAGGAATCAGAGCCTTTGTCAAAATTGCTTCCTAGGGAGAGAGAAGGACATAACTGTGAGGAGAGGAGAGTTTGAAGCAGAGAATTAGTCACATCCTGTTTTGTGCCCAAATATCACACTGAGGATATATTTATTTTCCTCTCTCTCTCTCTTCTCTCTAGCTTTTTTCTTTTTCTTTTTCTTTTTTTTGTCGGTCGTGGGGCTTGAACTCTGGGCCTGGGCGCTGTCCCTCAGCTCTTCAGCTCAAGGCAAGCGCTCTACCACTTGAGCTACAGTGCCACTTCCGGTTTTCTGGTGGTTTATTGGAGATAGGAGTCTCACGGTCTCTCCTGCCCGGGCTGGCTTTGAACCGCGATCCTCAGATCTCAGCCTCCTGAGTAGCTAGGATTACAGGCGTGAGCCACCAGCGCCCGGCTCTAGCTTTTTTCATTAGGATTTTCCATTCTCTCAGTTCAATCATCACCTCCCCTCAGTCCTTCCACTAGTCACCAGACTGATGTTCACTGGTGTCAGCTTCATACACCTTCTTATCAAACCACAGGTGGGCCACTGTCATGCGGTTCTGGGTGAGAGTGCCTGTCTTGTCTGAACAGATGGTAGATGTGGAGCCCAGGGTCTCTACAGCCTCCAGATTCTTCACCAGGCAGTTCTTCCGTGCCATACGCTTGGCTGTCAGGGTCAAGGATACCTAAAGCCATCAAGAAGGGAGAAAATGGACAGAGAGGGAGATTACTCCCATCACTTTGTGTTTGGATTGATCATTTTTGTTTCCATTTTGTTTCCACCTATTCTTTTTTATTTATTTTTTATTTTTTTGGGTCCCGTCGTGGGGCCTGAACTCTGGGCCTGGGCACTGTCCCTCAGCTTTTCAGCTCAAGGCTAACAGTCTACCATTAGAGCCACAGTGCCACTTCCGGCTTTTTTCTTTTTTCTTATGTGGTGCTGAGGAATCGAACCCAGGGCCTCATGCATGCAAGGCAAGCGCTCTACCACTGAGCCACCTTCCCAGCCCCTCCACCTATTCTTTAGAAGTTCCATCTATGACCATGGTACAGAATATTGGGAAAGTAATTTTAGTATGTGATTTATGACAAGAGTTTCAGTTTGTTCCTTTATCAGGGTATCTTAAGGAGTGAACTTCTTACCCTCAGATCCTTCCTGCTTTACTACTTAACAGCCTCTTCCACATTTCACCCTCTTTCTTTCTAGGTTCAATCTTTCCAGGGATCACATAGGTGGCTAGTCAAAGGTGCTATGTGTGCAGGAGCATTGTACTGATAGTTTAAATGATGGACAAGAACAAGGATGACATAGAGAAAGAGCATCACAGTATTGAATGCACTTAAGAAATAATTTAAACAAGATTTTTAAAATTATAAATTCAACGTAAGTTAGGTATGTAGCAAGGCTATTTTAAAAACCAACAAATAGGGCTGGGAGGGTGGCTCAGTGGTAGAGTGCTAGCTTTGCATGCATGAGGCCCAGAGTTCGATTCCTCAGCACCACATAAGCAGAAAAAGCTGGAAGTGGTGCTGTGGCTCAAATGGTAGAGTGCGAGCCTTGAGCTGAAGAGCTGAGGACCAGTGCTGAGGCCCAGAGTTCAGGCCCCACAACCAAAAAACAAACAAACAAACAAAACCTAACAAATAGGTTGTGGGTTATGTACATATAGAATTCTCTGATTGAGGGGCTGGGAAGGTGGCTCAGTGGTAGAGCGCTTGCCTTGCTTGCATGAGGCCCTGGGTTCAATTCCTCAGCACCACATAAGAAAAAAGCTGGAAGTGGCACTGTGGCTCAAGTGGTAGAGTGCTAGCCTTGAACTGAAGAGTTGAGGGACAGCGCCCAGGTCCAGAGTTCAGGCCCCACGACCAGACTCAAAAAAAAAAAAAAAAGATAATACAAGTAAACAGCTGAATGAAATAGGAAAAATTATGTCAGGAATTCAATAAATATGGAAAGCTTAAGCTGAGTGCCGGTGGCTCATGCTGAGACCTGAGATCATGGTTCAAAGCCAGCCCGGGCAGGAAAAGTCCGTGAGACTCTTATCTCCAATAAACCGCTCAAAAAACCCAAAGTGGAGCTGTGGTTCAAGTGGTAGAGCTCTTGCCTTGAGCTGAAGAGCTGAAGGGCAGCACTCAGGCCCAGAGTTCAAGCCCATGACTGACAAAAAAAAAGATGGAAAGCTTGAGAAAATTCAAATTGAAATTCTGGAAGTACAAAAGCTCAACAACCCAAATATAAAACTCAGTTGAAAACTTTGTTTATAGAATATTAGAGATTGAATATAAAGTAGAAGAATTAAAATACTAAGAAAATATCTCTTAACAATGATTTCTGGAAGGTGAAAGGTTAGCAGAAGTATCTTGCCTTCCTTTTTGCTGTAGGCCTGCTGGGTTTTGTCGAAATGGGCAAGTTCATGAAACCCGGGAAAGTGGTACTGGTCCTGGCTGGATGCTACTCTGGACAGAAAGCTGTCATCGTGAAGAACATTGATGATGGTACCTTAGATTACCCCTACAGCCATGCTTTGGTGGCAGGAATTGATCGCTATCCCCGAAAAATGACAGTTAACATGGGCAAGAAGAAGTTTGCCAAGAGATCAAAGATCAAGTCTTTTGTGAAGGTTTATAACTACAATCACCTTATGCCCACAAGGTACTCTGTGAATATCCCCTTGGACAAAACTGTGGTCAACTGTGGTCAAGGATATCTTCAGAGACCCAGCTCTTAAACGCAAGGCCTGATGGGAGGCCAAAGCCAAGTTTGAGGAGAGATATAAGACCGGCAAAAACAAGTGGTTTGTCCAGAAACTTCAGTTTTAGATTTGTTTCCACCATTAAAAATAGGGGGTGCGGGTGGGGTGTGGGGGAGAATGATCTCTGGGACATCATTAAAAGACAAAACCTATGAATGATGAGTATAGAAGAAGGAAAAGTACAAGCTAAAGGCTAGATAACCTAGTCAATTAAATATAGCAGACAGCACCCAAGAAAGGGACAGAGCCCAAGCCCAAGCCAAAGAAAGGGCTATCTGTGTACAGAAAGTATTCAGAACACTAAGCAGACAAGAAGAAAGAATATTGAAGGCTGCAAGAGAAAAGTGGCAAGTCACATATAAAGCTCATCAAAATAACAGCAGATTTCTCAACATAAACTCTAAAAGCATCTCTGAATGAAAATAACTGTAGATTACTGTATCTAGCAAAGCTATCCTTCATAACTGATGGGGAAATAAAGCCTTCTATAATAAACAAGAACCAAAGGAATTCATGACCAGTAAAGCAGCATTGGAGAAAATATTTAAAGAAACTTACACCAATAAAAGGAAAATAAATATCAGAAGAATATGGGAAATAATAATGCCCTTAGCTAAGTGGATAAGCAAATATGGAGTGTGTTGGGGGGAGCAAAAAAAGCTGGGAGTATAACTCAAGAGCTAGAGCATCTATCTGCCTAGCAAGTGTGAGACCCTCAGTTCGAACCAGAATAATTTGAACTATAATGACCCTATACTTAAAAGACCCCAAATAGTTCACCAGAAATCAGATTTAGATCTGATCAACTATTTGAGCAAAGGAGCAGAAAGCAAAGTCATCATATAAAAGTCAGTAGTTTATGTACAAAGATGGCATTAGGAATCTCAATGAAAGCTGTTGATCATAGGAGACTTGGGATGGGAAAAGGTAAAACAGTAGGACTATTCTTCTTAAAATGTAATATATATACATATGAATAACATAGTGAAACCCCTTGGTACAATTAATACACATCAAAAAATGACAGGAAAGTAAAGTTGGCTCTGTTGGTGGCAGATATAGGTACTAACTGGAGGGAGGGAGGGAGGATGGAGAGTGAATGGAGTAGGTGAATGGGGATGAATGTGGTTGGACTAGTTTATTTGCATCTATGAAGACAGAACAATGAAGCCTTTTGAAATTGTTTTAGAAATGGGAAGAAAGGTAAGGCAGAGTGATAGAGGGGGTGAGTTTGCCTGTATGGAAATGTCACAAGGAACTACCTACCCACTACTCCCATCCCATACAACTAATGTAAAAAACAAAAAACAGTCAGTTGATTTTCTATGTATCAACAACAGGCTGAGAATGAAATCAGGAAAACAGTTCCATTCATAATGAATTTCTGAATTAATAATTAAAATTTTTAATACCTAGGAATAAACTTAACTAAGGAGGTGAAAGACCTCCACAACAAAAACAATGAAGCCCTAAAAATATTGAAAAAGGCACTGGAAGATGCCAAGCCCTCCCATGGTCATGGATTGGTGGAATTAATATTATAAAAATGACTGCTACTGAAATCAACCTACAGACTCAGTGCAGTTATCATCAATATTCCAATGCTATTCTTCATAGAAACACAGTAATCAAACCTAAAAGAGTAATCCTGGAGCCAGGTGATATTCAGGAAGCTGAGATCTGAGGACTTTGGTTTGAAGTCAGACCAGGCAGGAAACTCTGTGATGCTTTATATCCGGCTAACCACCAAAAACACAGCTGTGGCTCAAGTGTTAGAGCACTAGCCTTGAGCAAAAATTTAAGGGACAACACCCAGGCTATGACACACACACACACACACACACACACACACACAGTAATACAAATTACAAAAAGAACAGTGTTGGGATTATCATAATGATGGACTTCAAATTATACTACAGAACCATAGTAATAAAAGCATGGTACTGGCACAAAAACACATTGACCAATGAACTAGACTAGAAGAGCTAGAAATAAACCTACACAACTACAGCCACCTTATTATTTATTTATTTACTTTCGTTGGTCCTGGGGCTTGAAGTTGGCCTGGGTGTTGTCCTGAGCTCTTCAGCTCAAGGCAAGCACTCTACTGCTTGAGCCACAGCACCACTTCTGGTTTTCTGGTGGCTAATTGGAGATAAGATTTTCACGGACTTTCCTGCCTGGGCTAGCTTTGAACCGCAATCTTCAGATCCCAGCCTCCTGAGTAGCTAGGATTACAGGTGTAAGCCACCGGCTCCCAGCTTCTGCCACCTTACTATATGACAAAGGTGTTAAAAACATATGCTGGAGAGAAAAGTCAGCCTCTTCAACAAATGGTGCTGGGAAGACTGGATATCCATATGTAGAAGACTGAAACTAGACCGGCATCTTCCACATTAAACAAAAATAAATTCAAAATGAATTAAAGATATTAATGTAAGACCTGAAACTTTTAAACAACAGAAAATTGTAGGGGAAATACTTAAAGATACATGTCTAGGCAATTATTTTCTGAATAGGATCTCAATACCCAGAAATAACAGCAAGAATTCACAAATGGGATTATATCATAGTAAAAATTGATCCATATTGCCAGAATGAAAAGGCAACCTATAGAAGGGAGGAAACATTTGCAAGGTATTTATTGTATAAAGAAATCATACCCTGAATATACAAGAACTCAAAATTTGAACATTCAAAGAACCACCCAATTAATGAATAGGCAAATGAACTGAAGAGACAGTTCTCATAACAAAGAAGTACAAATGGCTAGTACATGCATGGAGCAATGTTCAACATCATTAGCTGTCAAGGAAATTCAAAGCAAAATAGTGCTGAGATTTCATCTCACTACTGGTGAGGTGAAGGGAAATAGGAGCTCTTATACACTGTCGGTGACAGTGTAAGTGAGTACAACCACTATGAAAATCAGTATAGCAGTTTATCAGAAAGCTAAAAGTAAATGTATGGTGTAACCCCGCTCTACCATTCTTGGGCATATACCCTGAGGAATGTTAATCAATGTAGAGAGCTATCCACAGACCCATGCTTATGGCAACACTGTTAACAACATCCACTGTGTAGAAGCAGCCTTGGTAACCAAGAACCAATGAATGGAGTATGTATTCAGCCAAAAAAAGGATGAATTATATTGTTTGCAAGAAAATGGATAAAACTGGAGATCATCATATTGAGATAAGCAAAGCTCAAAAAGCCAGTTATATGGGGTTGGGGGGGAGGGGGGAGGCTGGGAAGGGATGGGAAGGGTAAACAAAGGAGGAGGCTGCAATGCTTGGTAAGAAATGTACGCATTATCCTGCCCATGTAATTGTAACCCCTCTGTACAGTATGTTCACAAATAAAATTAAATTAAAAAAAAGCCAGTTATAACGTGCTTTGATCTATATGCAGAATTTAGACCTAGAATGATAACAATGACAACAATAATAATAATGGGCCATGGGAATGCAAGAGAGACTGTTTATGGGTGAGAATTCATGAGAGTATGGAATAGGATAGAAGAGTGTGTGGATGGGAGCAGAGAACATACTTGATGTACATTATATATACATATATGAAGATACCATAATGAAACCCATTAAATGTTATTTGAAGAATGGTGGAAAGGTGAGGAGTTAAGAGAGTACAAGGGAGGGGACAGATTTAATTGAAACACCTATACACATCTATGGAAACACTATAATGAAACCCTTATACAATTAATGTATGCTAATTTAAAATAAATGAAACGGTTAGATTGTAGGAAAAAGAGAACCTTATTTTGGTTCCTAAGGTGGTAAAACTAGGATGGAGAAACTGCTGCTCAATACAATTAAAGTTACCTGGGACAAACAGCAAGGAAATGGGCTAAGGCAACCATCCATGAATGTGTTTCCCATTACCAGAAAGTAAATCCTCTAACGTGGATTTTTATAGAGGATATTCAGTGTTGGCTCAAGTGTTGAATTTATGTAGCCTTTGACATTCTTTCCAGTAGGACTCCATAAGTCTAAATATTACTTTACAAGTAAGATAAATAACAGAGGCCTGGAGATATTAAGAGATTTGGCCAAATTCATAGCCAGTACAGGCAGGAATAGAACTCTTTTTCTATTTCCATTGGCACTTGCTTCCTCTCTCACTGGAGAAAAAGAGCAGACACCAGAAAACAGGTGGGGACAAGGTCCATGTAATATTGGGAGCTAAATTATTTCTGACACGCATGTCAGGCACGCGCTGCACTTGCAAGTTGCAACAACACAAAAAAAATACTAAGGATTTCATTTCCCTGGGTTGTTTCCTTTCTGTCCCAAGGCCACCCTTGTCTACTTACAGTGACAGTGGCCAGAAGCCCCTCAGGCACATTAGCCACGATGATGCCAATTAGAAAAATGACTGCTTCCAGCCAGTTGTAGCCCAAGCAAAGTGAGAGAATGAAAAAAGTGACACCAAGGAAGGCGGCTACTCCTGTGATCAGCTGGATGAAGTGTTCAATCTCAATCGCAATGGGAGTCTTTCCAGTCTTCAGGCCTGATGCCAGAGAAGCAATTCGGCCCATCACTGTGGCATCTCCTGTAGCAATCACAATGCCCCGGGCTGTTCCTGTGGATAAAAGTATATGGTGATGCTGTGATAGTGAAATACATAGAATTACCATTATTGTCTCCTTTTCCTGATGAAACTCTTGAAACCCATATAGATAGAGTTGCTAGGGAAAACTTTTGTCCTAATAGTAGATCTTTAAAAGACCTTTGTAATTTCCTGAGTGATACGAGTGTCTGACACAGAGCTCCTAAATCCCTTAGAAATCCACGGGTGAGAAGTACACACACACACACACACACACACACACACACACACACACACACACCTATTTGGTGCCAGTACTGGGGTGGTGTACTCAGAACCTCATGCTCACATGGCTTTTTTTTTCTTAAGGTTGAGGCTTTGCCACTTGAGCTATAGCTCCAAAAAGCTATATGCTTTTTGATGGTTAATTGTAGATAAGACTCTCATAGACTTTTTGGCCTAAGCTGGGTGAACCACGATCCTCAGGTGTGTATATATGCCTATAACCCTCCTGAGTAGCAAGGGGTATAGACACCAGCTACAGCTGAATCTTTTGTTTTGATGAAGCAGTTCTTGGTGTGCTCTTGGATAGACACATTTAAGAGCTGGTTGCCAGGGGAAACCGCCTGTGTGATTAGAGGTTTGAGTTTTCAGCTCCACTGCCTGACCTCTGAGAAAGGGACAGACACTATTATAATCTATCTGGAAGGTCTCCCAAAGATTGATGTTTTGAAGTCTTGGTCCCCAGCTGTTAGTGCTATTGGGAGGTGGTAGAAACTTTAATAGAGAACATAGCTCATTAGGAGTGTGCCCTAGAAGGGTATATTAGGACCCCTCCTCTCCTCCCATCCTTTTCCCTCTCCTCCCCGCTTCCCTCTCCTCTCCTCTAGCCACCATGAAGCGAGCAGCTTTGCCCTAACATAGTACTCCTCACAATGATGCTCTGCCTTGTCACAGGCCCAAAGCAATGGGACAAAGTGACCATAGACTGAAACTTTGGAAACTGTGCACCAAAATAAATCCTTCCTCAGAATAAATTATTTATCTCTAGTATTTTGTCCCAAGGACAGAACACTAACGGACACAGGCGCCAGTGGCCAATGATATAATCCATCAAGTCTCTGTAAAAACAATCCGCATAGACTAGATTTGGAAGCTTCTGGCTGGTGACCATGCAGAAGGGCCAGGAGGGACATGGAAGCGCCATACCCCTGCTCACTACCACACCCTATTCATGTCTTCCATCTGGCCATTTAGGTACCCTTTGCGATATCCTAATAAATAAGAAAATGCAGATCAGGTGTTTCTGTGAGTGTATGAGCTGTCCTAGCAAATGATCTGAGCCCAAGGGAAAGGTTCTAGGATCCACAGAGCCAGACTCCTCCCTGGTCGGTGAGAAGTATAGATGATGACCTACTACTTGGATTGGAGTCTGAGGTGGACACAGTCCTATGGGGCTGTTCCCTCATCTGATGGGTGGCATCTCTGGGCAGACACTATCACTTTAGGGAACTGAATTACAGGACCTCTTGTTGATGGCTGCTGGAGAATTGGTTGTTAAAGGAGATCCTCATACATTGCACACAGAAGGGCTCTGTGTGCAATGTAAAAGGCAGATAGAATTGTTTTTTCATTTTTTTGTAAGACGGTGAACCCAGATGTTGCAAGTCTGAACTAGGAAGGCCTGTTTTAGTCAGAGAGAGGAGAGAGAGAGAGAGAGAGAGAAAGAGAGCTGTCCATGGTCCAAAACCAAAGTAGAACTACTACAAGGCTCTCTGAGAAGGCATTGCATTCTATGCTTTTATTTAGTTAATAAATATGAACATATTTAGTTAATAAATAAATAAGGGTCTACAAGTTGGAAAAATCTCTGAAGATATCTCACAGTGCTTCAGAAACACCCAATTTTATTGTCTAGTTGCCTTCACTGTCAAAAAAGACCCTTAACCGGAATATGTTTAGCCTCCCGTATATTTCTTATTTTGTTAAACAGAATAGGAATAGTGTTGGGGATATGAATAGTTTTCAGAGCCATAGGAATGGTAGTTACTCTCACAGGGAAGCCCTTTGTGCCCACATCTTGTTTTCTTCCAGTGCATTCTCAGCTGGGAGAAAGTTGTGTCCTCTCCTGGGACATTTGACACTATCTGGGGACATTGTGATTGTCCCAATTAGGATGGGAGGGGTCTGCTACTGGTAGCTAATGGGTAGAAACCAGAAATGCTGCTAAATGGCCTTCACTATATAGGACAGCCGTCCTCTTTTTCTCCTATAGCAGAGATTTTTCTAAGTCCAAAGGTCAGTCGGTAGTTAGTTGAGAAGCCCTGCCTAACCTGAGCCCCCTCCCTGCTTTGCTGGCAAGAGCCAGTCTGACCTCTGCTGGGTAGCTACGGCCATGACAGCTGGGCTCCCATGCTGCTAGAGCCCCTTCTCGTCAGCAGCACTGCGCCTAGAGTCAGAAGGGCAAGTTACTTGGATATGATTTTGCCTTGACGCAAGTGTGTTTCACCAATCTGATGCTTGAAATGAGTGGATGAGGCCTTTTGTTTAAAATAATTCTTCTGCGTTATCATAATGATGGAAATTCCTACCATTGAAGTTGTAAGAATCATTCAGGAAAGGATCATATGGAAGTACTACGTTAGAAGCAGAATGACTCAGAGCTGGAAATTCAAGTTTCCAAACTGCTAGTTCTTTTTCCCTGGGGAAAATTAATTACCCTGATTTTAAATATGGCTTCCTCATATTTAAAATGGGATGAGAGCACCAACATGCTGTGAGGGTGAATGTTTTCATTTTACAAGAGCTAACAGAGTTAGGCACATAGGAAGCACTAAAAGTCCATTCTTTCATTCAGATGAACTGAGGGGTCTCCAGAAGGACAAATAAAATAATCCTACATGTGACTTAGTAGGGCTAACACTAGTCTAGCAGGTCCCAGAAGCATCACAGCACAGAGCATCTCGGGGGGTGGGGGGCAGTACGAGGGAGATGGGTCTCTATTTCCAAGGTCACCTTTAGCAATTTGCATTTGAAGATGAAGTTCTATTTATTTTGTGTTTATCTATATGGAGGGGATGTTCTGGAAAGGTTCCTAACCCTGCAGATGACCTTTAGACTGTTGACAGAAACATCTTGTTTTTGCATCTCAGGAAGATACTAAAGTAATTGAGAAATGCTAAAGGCTTCGCTTTTTTTTTTTTTTAATGGAGTGGGTGTAACAGCTATTGTGCCACCTGTGTGCATTCTATATCATGTTTAGCTTAGTTTTTCCTTTTCATTCCATCTGTTAGGAGTTTCCCATGGTTGGACAGATGAGATTCAATAACGAATCCCAGTGTGCAGGGAGGTGGGGAAGATTGAGAAGGCCAAGCATCCTAATCTCAGGCCAGACTGACTTCATATGCTTCCGTATATTTTCAACGAAATAACTTAGGCTCCCTAGAAGAAAAGGGACCTGAAGAGAAGCATTGTATCAGATCCATCAAGGGCCCTGCAGAGAAGCATTGTATCACAGATCCATCAAGGGACCTGAAGAGAAGCATTGTATCACAGATCCATCAAGGTCCGGGTGATGAAAGGAGGCACGGGTGAAGGTGACACTTGTCTACTTGTTTGTAAACTAGTCTAAGCAAATTTACTAGTGCAAGTGAAGGGGCTGGAGGCATGGCTGAAAGTGGTAGGTCGCCGGCCTTGAAAGCATGACATCTTGAGTTCAATCCCCAGGGCTGCAAAAACAAACAAAAACAATAACAAACAAACAAACAGCAACAACTAAAAGCAGTTAAGAGCTCCTCCAGTCCAGCTCAACCCTCAACTACACTTTGAGTTCTTCTAGTCTTCTATTAAATCCTACTCTACCCAGAAAGACTTTTGTTTCCCAGATAGAGGGCCACTACCTACTCCTTCCCAACCCTTTTATCTGCAGCATGCGCTTAGCCTGCTTCAGCTGGGTGCTGGTGGTTCATGCATGTAATCCTTGCTACTCAGGAGGCTGAGATTTGAGGATTGTGGTTCAAAGCTCAGGCAGAAAACCAGAAGTGGTGCTGTGGCTGAAGTGGTAGAACACTTGCCTTTAGCTGAAGAGCTGAGGGACAGTGCCCAGGCCCCAGAGTTCAAGCCCCATGATTGACAAAAACAAAAAACCTGCTTCAGAAGAACACATGTGAGCAAACTTATTTCAACGTGGTAGCAGACATTTAGTGTTTGGGGAGAAATCTTGCAAACTTGCTTTTTCTTTTTCTGTCAAATCAAGTATTTTTTGTTTTTTATTAAGTATTTTATTTTCAGATTGAATCTTCCTTATAGTCTATTCAGCCCATGTAACTCTTGGAGGTATTTTCAAATTAAATAACTTAGTTTCAAGGAAGACTATTAGCAATCTTTTAGGGCCTTGGGAAGACTCTGGAGACAGGCATGTATGAGAATCTCTGATCCTCCTCCTTTCTTTGACTTGTGTTAATGGATATGGGGAGCATGCAATTTCCTTGAATTTTACTCTTTCATGTGTGAAAAAAGATAATATGTACCTGCTGTGCAACATTGTGAGCATCAGAAAACATTTCTACCATTTGACATAGTACATCCAAGAAGATGTCTATTTGTAGATACAAAACAAAAAAGGAGCTATTTGTAGATACTAAAACATTTATTATTAAACATGAATAATGGTTTTCAAGTGTATTCATGACTCCTTAAAGGGAGAGGGCAAAGGAGAAAATGCCATGATGATTTTTTTTTTTTGGGTCCGGTCGTGGGGCCTGAACTCTGGGCCTGAGCGCTATCCCTCAGCTCTTTAGCTCAAGGTTAGCACTCTACCACTTAAGCTACAGCGTCACTTCTGGCTTTTTTTCTTTTTGTTTATGTGGTACTGAGGAATCAAACCCAGGGCCTCATGTATGCAAGGCAAGCGCTCTACCACTGAGCCACCTTCCCAGCCCCGCCATGATGATTTTTGAATCCTTTGTTACCATAGGTCAGAACTGCCTTCCTGGTTCAAGAATACTGTATATTCTAAAAGCAAAGCCCAAGTTGGGTGGTCAAAGTCTGGGTGGACCTTTGATAACTCAAATTTCTAAACCCAATATCCTTTCTTACAGAAACAGAAGTTAAGACTTACCTTAGAGAAGAATGACCCAATTAGGGATATTTTCTTCTTTTCTGAGTCACTTTTCAGCACACAGCAAACTCACAGTCCATTTACTAGCTGCAATAATAGCTGACAGTGATAGACCACTTGCAGTGTATAATATCTTGTGCTAAGCCTCTTATATATATCTTGTTTAATCCCCAAAAATCTATGAGCAAAAATCTTTGTGCAAATATAGGTGTGGCCTGCATCTCACAACAAGGGTCATAGTGCCCATGAATGATTGAAAGCTAGAATTCCAGTTCTTACTTTGGAAGACAGAGGGTCCAAAAACATTTTTTTGTTTCCATGTTTGCTTTTGAATCTATGCTACTTATGATAGAATATTCACCTTCCACACAGTTGGTGGAGAAGAAGCAGATGTTTTTGGTCTCTAGCGGGTTCTCATGAGTGAAATCAGCAGAGCGATTCTGGGGCTCGGACTCCCCAGTCAAGGATGAATTGTCCACCTGAGAAGGAAAGGAAGGAGACCACGAGGAAAAAGGCAGATTAACTTATAAAGAAAACATATATATCATTATCATCATATCCTGTCATATCCTACCTTCATCCTCATCATCCTCATCTATATTTCAGAAACAATGTATGTATCTTGACTCCAACTTCAAATTCATACTCATCACTTCTTAAGGTTCTGAGTAATAAGATCCTATTTTCTCTAGATAAGTCCATTTCTTTTTTTTTTTTTTTTGTTGGTCGTGGGGCTTGAACTCTGGGCCTGGGCGCTGTCCCTCAGCTCTTCAGCTCAAGGCGAGCGCTCTACCACTTGAGCTACAGCGCCACTTCCGGTTTTCTGGTGGTTTATTGGAGATAGGAGTCTCACGGTCTCTCCTGCCCGGGCTGGCTTTGAACCGCGATCCTCAGATCTCAGCCTCCTGAGTAGCTAGGATTACAGGCGTGAGCCACCAGCGCCTGGCAGATAAGTCCATTTCTAATACCACACCTTAAGACCATGCTTGAGCCCATTGGTGGATTTTTCTCCTTACCTTACACCCTTGTGCTAAGATAAGCCGGAGGTCAGCAGGGATTTGGTCTCCACCCTTCACGTCCACTATGTCTCCCACTACCACATCTCTTACATGGATTTGCATCTGTTCTCCTCCTCGAACTACCATAGCTTGCTGTAGGAAAACAGTGCAGAGTTGTTTCTAAAGTGTTCTCGTCTCCCATTCTGCTCCTGCCTTCCTATACCTGGCTTCTTCCTTGGGACTCCTATTTAAGCTGTGTCACCCACAATGATAGTCTTAAAGGGGGTGTTTGGTGGACTATGCATTCTTACCTTGATCATCTTGCCTATCCTTTGCAATGTGACTGGTGGTCTTCTAAGCAAGGGGTGGGGTCAACATCTCTACTCCTAAAACTAGACTTGGCCATGTGACTTGCTTTGGTTCCTAGGACATTAGTGAATGTGATGTAGACTTACAAAGCATTTTCATTTGGGGCTTGTCCTGTGGTTGCTAAGAACTCCTTAGCACTCCTATGTACGAGGCTGAGCTAATCTCTTTAGAAGAGAGACCAGAGGAGATAGGACCCAGCTGTCCCAGTCATCTCAGCTGAGACCCTCGACAAGAGCATGAGATCACCTTAGCTCATCAAGCATGCTCTGGTTCTGAGCATGGTCTGAGCACCAGCTCAGCCATAGACTTGAGACAAAGAATATGTTGTTCCACGTCAGTGAATGTTGAGATGGTTTGGGAAAGGGGTACGGGGCTGAGGGAGAGTGAGGAAAGGAGTCTGATTGAGGCATTGTGTGCATAGATGGACAATGAAATGCAAAAAACAAAAAGAAACACACAAATAAATAAACTTGGAATTGCCTGTCAGCAAAATGTCACTAGAAATCTCCAAGCTTCTACTTTAAAATTACCAAAATACTACCTTGCTAAAACTCTAACCCAAGGGAAAAAATTACATTGATTCTAAAAGGAAAAGACAATCCAAGGCTCAAATGCTAGAACATGATAATGCTCTTGAGAAATTGTGGAAGCTGTCATTTTACAAGTTTCCACACCTGTGCTCAGGAAGCACTATCTACTAGCACATTGTTTCTTTGTACCATTAAGGTTTTTTATTTGAAAATAATCTCAACATTTCAGAAAAGTTGTAATAATGGAAATAGAATAAGGAACACCTATATAACCTTTGTCTAATCACCTATAAAAATTTTACCTTGTTTGTTTTGTCCTTTGTTTTGCATGTATGTAGGAGGAGGTATGGGTATATTTTTATTCTTCCTGATCTATTTAAAGTTACATACATTACAATCATTGACCTTAAGTGTTTCAGTGTGCATTTCCCAAGAATCAGGACATTCTCTTCTGTAACCACAATACACAGATCAATTTTAGTAAGTTTCTCATGGACACAATACTTAAATTTACCTTTTTGTTTTTGTTGGTCACAGGGCTTGAACTCTGGGCCTGGGCGCTCTCTCTGAGCTCTTCAGCTCAAGGCGAGTGCTCTACCACTTGAACCACAGCCCACTTCCCGTTTTCTGGTGGTTAATTGGAGATAAGAGTCTCACGGACTTTCCTGCCTGGGCTGGCTTTTAAAATTTATCTTTGTTGGGCTGGGAAGGTGGCTCAGTGGTAGAGCGCTTGCCTTGCATGCATGAGGCCCTGGGTTCGATTCCTCAACACCACGTAAGCAAAAAGCAAAAAGCCAGAGGTGGCACTTTGGCTCAAGTGGTAGAGCGCTAGCCTTGAGCTGAAGAGCTGAGGGACAGCATCCAGGCCCAGAGTTCAGGCTCCACGACCAGACCCCCCCAAAAAAAAATTTATCTTCTATAATCTAGTTTTGTTAATTGACTCTAAAATATCTTTTGACACATATTTTTTCCTTCAGCATGGAATCAGATCTTGGGCTAAGCACTATTTCTTTAGCATGCTAAAATGAAAATTTCCCATAGATGTTTATCATTTTTAATGTCATTGGAAGAGTCCGGCCTTGGATTATTCTTGGAATATTGTCATTTGGGTTGTAAATCATGTTTCCTCATTAAATTCTGGTTGTGTCTTCTAGACTAGCTACTTTTGGGTGACATTATGTCTTTCTCAGGAAAACTTTTCCTGGTACTTTCAAGGCCAAACATAGTACCTGCCCCCCCCCGCCCTGCCCCTCATCAACAACCTCACTCAACTCACTCATTGTAAGCTATAATTCTTCAAGACCCCCAATAACTATTCGCATTCTATGCTTCCACTCACTAGATCCTCCCATATCAGTCCTACCTGTGGCAACATGTCCTTAAAGGACTCCATAATCTTGGAGCTTTTGGCCTCCTGATAATAGGAGAAGCAGCCAGTGATGATGACCACGGCAGTTAGTACGATGCCCAGGTACAGCTAGGGATGGGGAAAGGAAGGCTCATCAGGAAGGTATTTTTCTCCTCTTTGTCCTTAGAAAATGAGCTCGAAAAGAAAACAGTAAGGTAGAAGAAACTATGGGACTGAGTTGGAGGGCAGAGAAAAATCTGAAAGAGGGCTGGCACACTTGTTTCCTTGTGAATGAACCCTTAACTGTAAGTGCAGAAAAATTCCTGGTCCAAGAAGGTCTGACTCTTTCTCTTCAGAATAGCCTATTCATAGATTGGAGGCAGATAAGAAGGGGGCAAGAGGAGGGGAAATAAAGACGGGAAGTTCTGGAGAAGGGAAAGGGTTTTGATGGTCACTTGGGAAGATCATCAAGGGAGAGGACATCTCTGGGATTAATCACACCCTCTCAGAGATTTCTAGATAGAAGACTAAAGGTACCAAGATGGACTAATGACTTCCTTAGAAAGTGCAGAACTAAGGGATTTTGGTTCAGCCACTGAGCAGAAGAGTTTCAGGGTCTGAGCAGAGACTGGAATGGGCAATATTAGCTAAACAGACTCACATTATCTCTGGTCTGTTCATCCTTAAAATGGTACTGGACTATATCGGCCAAGAAGCAGAGAATGGCACCAGTCCACAGCAGGAGAGAGAAGCCACCAAACAGTTGTTTTAAGAATTTGAACCACTCTGGAGTGCTGGGGGGTGGGGTCAGTGTATTGGGTCCGTCTCGAAGGAGGATTTCTCTTGCCTTTTCTGGGCTATGGCCCTGTAGAGAGAAGAAATCGGGGTGGATGGAAAATAGCTGTGGGGAAAAAAAGATAATTACAGAAAAGAGCATCCTGCCATTTAGAACCTCAGGATAGTGCCGACTAACTCGCCTTTAGAACATTAATCTGGAAGTATTTCCTAGTTAAGATAGATTTTAAATACTTTCATTATAGAAGGATCTCATTTAGTAGTCTGTTAAGAAGAGCTTATTATTGTTTATGGATCAATATATGATCTATTTATTGTATCCATATAATATCATTGTTTATGTCTATTTTTGTGGCCAAGATTGTACTAGGTGCTGAGAATACCAACATGAAACAAGAATAATACCTGTCTTTAATTAGGGCGAGTGAGACAAATATAGAGAAATAATATGTGCAAGACCAATGTTGTAATGATCTGTAATATGTAATGTTACATATTAAAGTGACATCTATACTTTGTCCCTTAAACTTGGAAAACAAAAAATCAAGTAAACAAATGCCTAAAGGCAGGAATGCATAAATATGCATTGTAGTCTTGTATACAAGTTTATATGTTTTCCCTTCTAAATAGACATGATAATAGACTCTACCAATCTCCTTCAGCCATTTCCCAACCAACCCTCGGGGCAGGGGAACTCCCAAGGGATCCAAAAGACTCTGGTGGGGAGGCCCATAGGTCAAGGGCTATTCATAATTTTAAGTCATTGTCCTTTTCTCTTTCATTCTCAAGAATATACAGTTGGTCAGGTGTGGTGGTATTCCAACATATAATCACATACTCAGAAGGCAGAGACAAGAGGATTTCAAGTTCCAGAAGAATCTGGGCTACAGAGCAAGATCTAGGCTATACAAAACAACAAAATCAACTCAACCAAACAGAAAAGCCTGAGTGTATGGAAGATACTATGATTTGAATCTTAAATGTCCCCGCAAAGCCGCATACTAAAGGCTTGGTTCTCAGATGGGGTCCTGTCAGGAGGCGGCAGGGGGCAGCATTAGGAAGTAGGGCCTAGTTAAAGGAGTAGGTCATTTGGAGGGGGCAGTCTTGCAGGGTATATTGGGACCTTGCTTCCTTGTTCTCTCTGCCTCTCATCTGCCAGGAAGTGAGCTGCTCTGTCCTACCACATGCTCTGTTAGGATGCTCTGCCTCAACACAGGCCCATGAACAACAGAGCCAGTGACCATGGACTGAAACCTCTGAAACTGTGAACCCAAGGAAATCCTTTCTCCTTTGATACTATTACCACAGTGCTATTTGCACAGTGACAGAAAGCTACCACACAGGATTTTCTAGAGGTTGCATATCAGTAAATATAATAGAGAAAAGATATGAGATTCTTAAATGTCTTCCTTTAAAAAAAACAACCACTAGACATTAAAGAGCTTTGCAAAAACATGACACTTTTTGTTCTAAATATATATTTTGCAAAACATATTAATTTAAATCTTTTTTTGGAGGGGGGGGTCAGTGCTGGGGATTGAATTCAGGGTCTTACACTTGTGCTTTACTGCTTTAATTTTTCATTGGTTTTTCAGATAGAGTCTTATATTTTGCCTGGGCAGCCTTAGAATTAAGCTCCTCCCATTTCCACCTTCTGAGTAGCTGTGATTACAGGCATGCACTGCTATTCCCAGCCTCCTTCCCCAAATAATAGTGATACTTATTTGTAAGAAACTTACCACTTGTTTTTTTATTCACTTTTTTATTCACATTTGACAACCCTGGGGGTTCAACATAGGACCTTGCAGATACTCTTAAGAGTAGGAACTGGGGATGAAGCTCAGTGGTAGAACATGATTAAGACCTCAAGTCAGATCTTAGCATGTATGACAAGTATGTATGATTGTAATTGTTTACTGTAGTGCTGAGAATTAAACCCAGGGCTTCTTGAATTATGCCCTTAGCTCTCTTGTTTTATTTATTTATGTTTATTTTTGCTGGTCCTGGAGCTTGAACTCGGGACCTGAGCACTGTCCTTGAGCCTCTCTGTGCTCAAGGCTAGCACTCTACCACTTGAGTCACAGTGTCACTTCCGGCTTTTTCTGTTTATGTGGTACTGAGGAATTGAACCCAGGATTTCATGCATGCTAGGCAAGGACTCTACCACTGAGCCACATTCCTAGCCCACTCGTTATTTTTAAATGGGTTAGGAACCATTTTTTAAATTCATGAATTTTAATGTTTAATATGGTATCTGCAGATAAACTGTAGCACAAAGGGAAAAAAATGTCAGGGTGTTTGGATAAATGATGAGTGTAAGAGGACTTGGGATAAAACATTTGAGAGAAACAGCTCTAAACCTTTCTTACTGGGTTATATAATCCTAAACTCTCTTCAGGGTAGTTATCATTATCATGTCCTGTGGACCTAGGCTAGGCCAGGTTCAAATCCAGTGAAGCTAGGGGACTTGATTTCTCACCTTGTTTGTCGCAGCCCAAGTCAGAGCTGGAGACCTTCTATCTCCTTTCCCTACTCACCTGAGTCAGGTCCACAGAGTACTTGGCACTCAGCTCTTCCAAGGTTAGTTTGTGGTCATCCTGAGGGGACAGTAGAGTCACTGATGGGGAAGTGGTGACCACAGGTCATTTGTGGGGGGGGGGATACAAGACAGAAGAGGACATCTAGAGCCTGCATGATTTGTTCTCAAGGTAAGATGCTAAAAGGCTGTCCAGGTTAAGGGGAGCGTTTTGGGGGGGCCATTTGTTTGGGGTGTTTTTTTTTTTACCATGTCCACTTCTTTCTTTAGTTCTTCTATATCTTTCTTTTTTATTAGGCTCTTATTACTTCGAAGCCCCCATGAAGTTCTTGGGCTTGGATTCCATCCATGAGAAGAAGCCATTATTCGTGAATTAGCCATTGTTCGTGAAGCCATTGTTCGTGAAGAAGCTACTGTTCGTGAAGAAGCTACTGTTCGTGAAGAAGCTACTGTTCGTGAAGAAGCCATTGTTCGTGAAGCCATTGTTCGCTTGTTTCCCCTAAGCCCTGTGATGATCCTTAGATTGAACTGACCCAGCTCCACTGGTGGGAAGAAAGCAGAGAGTGAGGGAGTAAGGAATGAGAGAGGATGGAGAGAAAAGAGTGGCTGGGGGCAGAAGGAGGCGTGAGGGAAGAGGAGGGCAGTGTGTTAGGGAGAGCTAGTGCCCAGCAGAAGAAAGAAAAAAGGTGGTGTGAAGGAGTCAGCCCGGGGGTGAGAAAGGTCTGAGGCAAGAAGATGGAGGGAGCTGGTCAGCCTGAGAAGAGCCCACTGAGCTTGGGAGTTAGGTAGGAGGTAGAGTGCAGAGTGGTGGTGGGGTGATGGTGGGGGGGGGCGAGGAAAACCAGGTACCTTAGAGATGAAGATGCACAGCTGCTCAACAGGTCGCAAGTGCAGCAAGAGCTAGGAGGCCAGATTGAGCTTCAGGGCAGGGTGGGAGCCCCCCACCCAGCCCTAGGCCCCGTGGGTGCTGTGGCAACAGCCTAGGTCAGTTATCACAAAGGCCCATGGAAGTTCCAATCAGGAACCCATGAGTTCTTGCTTGGAACTTCTGTTGGGTTTAAGGCGGACTGAAGCAGATCCTGCCACAGACAGAGTTTGGATCTGAGGGCCAAACTAGAGCAAAGGGCTGTGTGGTGCTGTGACTTCTGGAGGCTTACAGATATCCCAAATCGCTGACTTTAAAACCTTAGCAGGTTACACGTGTGCACTCTTGTGCGCATGCCCAGCCTTTTCACTCTTGGCTAGAGCTTTATCACATGAGCCACTTCCTACGTTTTATTGGATAGTTGGAGAAAAGAGTCTCTCAGACTTTCCCTCCCTAGGCTGGCTACAAACTCAGATCCTCGGATCCGTTGCTTAATGTGCAGCTCTTCTCAGTGAGAGTAAAAGTATAATCATTCCACCATTTGTAAATGGTGGATTCTCTTTTCTGTTTACCTTTGCAGACATCTCAGTAAGTGCTTCGACTTTAAATGCTTACAGTATATGCAAATTATTTTCTCCTTCCTGCCTGCTTCGTAAAGTGGCTATATATTTATAATATCAGTCATATATACGTATATACAGACACACACATACATATAGTTCAGTAAGGTATATTACATGAACTCTCTCCACCTTTCTCTTTTGGTGGTACTGATGTCTGCATGCAGCGTCACCATGGCTGGCTTGTTTATCTGGCATGCTTCCCTTTAGCCATGCCTCCAGCCCTGCTTTTATTGTTGTTTTAGAGGTGATATACAGTAAGGTTAGCTTTACATACATCAGGTAATAACTACGTTTACTTCCTTTTGCTTAGTATCAACTGTTCCCTCATTTTCTCCCCTTCCCTCCCTCCCATCTCTGCCCCCCAATTGAGTGGTTCACTTTCACCAATGTCCAGTGCAGCCAGCGAGCTCTGCTGCTGCACTTTTTCACCCATTTTCCCACTGATTCTATGCCCTCCCTCACCTTCCATCAGCTGTGCACGTGAACACACTGTATATGAGGTAAAGAATACAGTCATCAGGAAATGAAATGACAAATTAAGAAAAGGTCCTTTGTTTCCTTATCTTTGGAGTACATTTCAGTATGTATATTATTTTATATACATATGAGGAGGTGTTTGGTTATTACAATTTGGTGATTTTCTAAGACTATATCCTCTATTGGTTTCAGTGTGTGATTTGTCATGTCCCCATACATTTTAAATCTAACGTCCGCATATCAGGAGAACAGGTGCCGTTTGTCTGTCTGATCTTGGCTTACCTCACTTAACATGATTGGTTCTGGTTCCATCCATTTCCCTGTGAATGACATTATTTTATTCTTTTAATGGCTGTGTAAGATTGCATTGTACATAGGCACCACATTTTTTAGATCCGTTCATCTACTAGCGGGCACCTGGATTGTTTCCATATCTTGACTATTGTGAGAAGTGTGGCAATGAACATGGAACTGCAGGTGTCCTTGTATCCTGATTCAGGATGTTCAGGGTAGATACCTAGGAGTGGTATGGCTGGGTTGTAGGGAAGATCTATGTTTAGTTTTCTTAAGAAACCTCCTGACTGCTTTCCAGAGTGGTTGTATTAATTTATATTCCCAGTAAGGCTCCTTTTTCTCTGATCCCTGCCAGCATTTGTTGATGTTAGAATTCAAAATATTCAGCACTGCTTTTTTGGCTGGTTATTTTGGAGATGGAATCTCAAGGACTTTTCTATCTGGGCTGGCCTAATTGAATGAAGAAGATTCCCCAGATCTCAGCTTCTTGTATAGCTAGGATTACAGACCTGAGCCAGAGGTGCCCCACTATTTTCTCTTTCCATTGTTTGATAATTACTTAATTGCATTTTGATTGGGTATGCTTTCTAAAAAGCCTCCTCCCCCTCCTCCTCCTCCTCCTCCCCCTCCCCCTCCTCATCCTCCCCCTCCTCTTCCTCTTCCTCCTCTCCTCCTCTTCTTCCTCTTCTTCTTCTTCTTCCTCCTTCTTCTTCTCCTTCTCTTCTTCTCCCTTCTCTTCCTTCTCCCCCCCTCCTTTGTACTGGGGATTAAACCCCAGAATGTTTTGCTTGTTGGGCAAATGCTTTACCACCAAGCTTCATCATCTCAGCCCCCCCCAAATCCATCTTGGTACTGATATAGTACTCCTTCCAAATCTACCAATGAAAACGTCCCTTTCCTGGCAGGGATAAAGGTTAGTCTGTTTCCTTGTTAGAGGGAATTTGTCTTCTTTATTAAAAATGTATGAAGTAAAGCAGTCTCGGCACTTGGGAGGTCAAGGCAAGAGAATCCGCCTTGGCTACATGGCAAGACCCTGCCTCCAAAAGAAAGGGATGACAGAGAACTGGAAATCCTCCTCTCCCTCCTCTCAGAAGCCCTAACCGTGGAGGGACTGTTGTTAATGTTTGACCTGTCCTTGTAATCTTCTCTCTATGCTTGTACAATGAGACCTAAAATGGGATACATTTTAATTTTTACATAACTGTTCAATTCTCCTTTAACTTATCAACTTGTCAGGCAAATAAAAGCTTATCATTTCAGCAGCTGCAAGTTATTTCATATTCCATATTGAGCATTGACTTGTTTATCGTTTGTATTGTTGATGGATTTACAGAATATTTTTCTATTTTAAATTTAACCACTAAAAGCTACCACCCAGTTAGTTGCTGGTGTGGTTCATGCCTGTAATCTTTTTTTTTTTTTTTGTCGGTCGGGGGGCTTGAACTCTGGGCCTGGGCACTGTCCCTCAGCTCTTCAGCTCAAGGCGAGCACTCTACCACTTGAGCTACAGCACCACTTCTGGTTTTCTGGTGGTTTATTGGAGATAGGAGTCTCACGGTCTCTCCTGCCTGGGCTGGCTTTGAACCGCGATCCTCAGATCTCAGCCTCCTGAGTAGCTAGGATTACAGGCGTGAGCCACCAGCGCCCGGCTACCATGCCTGTAATCTTAACTACAAAGGAGGCTGAAATGTGAGGATTGCAGTTCAAAGCCAGCCCAGGTAGGAAAAGTCCTTCAGACTGAACTCTGGGTCTGGGCCCTGTCCCTCAGCTCTTCAGCTCAAGGCTAGCGCTCTACCACTTGAGCTACCACGCCACTTCTGGCTTTTTTCTTTTTGCTTATGTGGTGCTGAGGACTCGAACCCAGTGCCTCATGCATGCAAGGCAAGCGTTCTACCACTGAACCACCTTCCCAGCCCTCCTTCAGACTCTTAACTCCAATTAACCAGCAAAAAAGTCAAAAGTACAGCTGTGGCTTAAGTGGTAATCTTGAGCTGAAAAGCTCAGGGACAGCACTCAGGCCCTGAGTTCAATCCCCAGGATCAGAGAGAAAAAAAGCAAGCATCACCACAGCCTTGTTACAGGTAGCTCTAGCCTCTATTTCTGTAGTATTGATTTTGGTTGCTGAGTCATGCTGTATACTCATTTAAAGGCCTAAAAGGGTTTTACCTGTCCAGGTCTGAACAACAATATGCAAGAACATCCATTCTCGATACTGTATGACCTTTGGTATTTTGTAGTTTTAGTGTACATTTCTTGGTTGTCTATGTGAGCATTTTCTCTTTTGCTTATTGGCTTTCAGGATGTTTCCTATTTGTAAGTTGTTATTCTTGTCATTTGCCCAATTTTCCATTGATTTCCTTTTTTAATTGATTTGTAGAAACCCTGTGTCATATACATTACTAACCTTTCCCTCTTTTGTCCACCAAAAGGTCATGAGAGCAAGGAGAGGATTAGAGTCAAAATTACTGGCTGGTGGTTCAGACATGTAATCTTAGCTACCTAGGAGGCTTAGATTTGAGGATCATGGTTCAAAGCCAGCCCTGGCAGAAAAATCCATGAGACTCATGCCCAATTAACCACCGGCAGTGGCACTGTGGCTCAAAGTGGTAGAGCGCTAACCTTGAACAAAAAGCACCCAGGCCCTGAGTACAAACCCCTTGACTACCAACACCAACAACAAATTACTGAATTCATGTATTGCATCACCTCTTGGACAATGTGTTCAACATGGGAGATTCCAGAAGCAAATTTGTGGAGGAACAATCAGTTGTAACTATTTTTGGAAGCCCTATTCTGAATTTTAGCTCAGAGATCTACCTTCTCAGAAAGACCTCCTGCAGTCAAATCCAAGTATGGCCCGCTGCCCACTCCTGTGTGCATCACTTCTGTTTTTTTTCTTTTGTCAGTGTGGGGCTTAAACTAAGGGCCTAGGCATTGTTCCTGAGCCTGTTTATACTCAAGGCGAGAGCTTTATAACTTGAGCCACAGTGCTACTTCCAGTGTTTGAGTGGTTAATTAGAGAGAAGAGTCTCATGGGAACTTTTTTGCCCAGTCTGGCTTCAAACCGAGATCTCAGATCTCTGCCTCCTGATTAGCTAGGATTACAGGCGTGAGCCACCAGT